GCGTTGCCGGCACCTTATATAAAATAAACAAACTGTCATCAGAAAGAGATGGTTTCAAACAAATGACATGAAAGTGAGAAGTTAAGTTTGATCGTTTTTTTAAAATGATTTAATTTCATATATGTTACAGTGGTGACATCCATATAAAAGCAAAATGTTTTTTTTTATCTTAAATTTTTATAATTATGTTTAAAACATTCATAGAAATTACACTTGACTCGGACTTTTATAGATATTGAAATATTTCGTTAAGTAATTGAGAATTTGAAATTAATTATGGAAATTGGTGATTTATCACGATTTATCGTCGATTTTCCAAAAATCGTTTCGTCTGCCATAATCTCAATAAAATTTTATTTAATCACCAATTTTTTGCCGAATACGATTAATCACGATTTTACGCCAATTTTTTTCGAAATCGGCAAAATCGCGACGATTTTCACAATATGGGAAGTCAATCTGTCTTTGATAACAATGCGTAAGTGCATTTTAATCGGTGTACAATTTTGAAAAACATATCGACTTTTCTTTCAATATTGGTCGCATAACTAATTTTTTCCATCATGCAAACAAAATAGTGCAAATAGGAATATTCTCAACTTCTTAGTATTTTCAATAATTTGAATGAATGCAATGTATTTCTTGAACTGAACTGTAGTAAAAAAAAAATTCAAATAACAATCAATCAAAATCATCTTTTTATATAGATTTATGTGCTCCTTTTCTTCTCTATAAAAAAATTAGGAAATTTCAAAGAATGAAAACACGGTAGGAGTGTCAGAATTTCCGTTCCCAAGAACTCAGAACCCTCTAAGGGTTCTGATTTTTTGGAAACCCGGGAACTTCTAGCAACTTTGTACAAAAAGGCAGTAAAAGGGTATGTAAGTAGTGCATTGTGTTAAAAAACGCATAAGAATGAATTGTGAAACGGGTTCGGGTTCCTAGGAAACGAAACCCTGACACCCCTATACGAGAACTAATAGTCGCAGTATGCAATATGGTCTGCACGTCGGCAGCTCTATCAGAGAGAGAGCTAGAATTGAGTTTGTGTGAGTCTACACAAAAATATACAAGTGCATATAAGATGCAATATAAGGAAATATTTTGTTATAGATGAAAATTCGTTTATCTCTTAGTTGATTTTCTTCGAATAAATATAAAAACCTAAATATGTAAAATATGGATCTCTAAGATATGCATTTGGAACCTAATTCTCTTTCATTGTTTTCTTTTCTTTTCATCTCAATGCCATAATTCTATATAAATTAATCTACTGGTAAACATGTTTTATTTAAACAAACATTGATAACAATCATAATATTTTTGTATGAGGAAAATATTGTTTTAAATATTCAGGAATTTCACATTCACAAATTAGACCTAAAAAACCTAGTTTTCTACAATTTGTTCGTGTTGTTTTTCTTGTAAAATCTTGTGTCACTCTTTTCAGTATTTGATAATCGACATTAAGAAAAACATTATTTGGCAAACAAGTGTTCGTATCAACAAGAAATTGTTCGACATAGTCATCATGAGCGTCAACAAGATCAAGATGAGAAAGATGTGGATACTCAATGATTGATAAATTTTGATTGTTATCATCTAATTTTCTAGATTGTTTATCATTTTGTGGTTTTTCATTAATTAAAGTTAATTTTTTCATAAATGGAAACGATTGAGAAATTTGAAAAAAAAAATTATGTTCAAAAGGTCGTTCATCAAATAAAGATATTTCACGAACATATTTAAATATTCCACCTGGAAAATTATTTGTTATTTTGTGATACTCTTTTCGTTCATATGGATAAGAATAAATATGACATTCACCTCGTCCAAACTTGTAAAAATAATCAACACAAGATATAATTTGATTATTTTGAAAATCATTGAATGTATGTTGAATATCTTCATTTGATATTAAACTAATTTGATTATGAAGATGAAAACTTGAGCGAATGTCAAATGTAAATTTATTTAATTGTGGCATATGGTTTAGAATATTTCTTTTCAAATTATTCCCATTAATAAATGTGTTCTTGTAACAAATTATAAGATATAAATTAAGTTTTTCTAAATTTAACATTCGGTGCAAAAGTGGAAGAATTAATTCATCATAAGCACTTGTATGTTCATCACAACATAATGAAAAACATTTTAAATTAGATAAATTTTCCTATAAAAAAAAGAAAAGCACACATAGAACTTCATGTGAATTAATTAGATATTAATGGAAATAATCTACCGTCTTATTGATTGTTAGACATGAAGAACGACGAATGAAAAAAGTGTTAACATGAAATACCCGAAGTTGAGTAAAACATCGATCAAGTAAATAAAGACAATCGTCGAAATGTTCTACATTGACATGTAGTTCTAAGAGAGTTGAAGAACTAAAAATTGGAGGTGAAATATCAAATGATAAGCGTTGAGGATAATTTGAAGATGGTTTGAAGTTTAAATATTGTAGATTGGTGAACATAGTAAAGATATCTGTAAATATAATTGTTTTCTCATCTCTTGTTATAATTTGTTCCTTATTTTTCCTAATACAGATAGTAACTGATGAAATTTGATTTTTAAATAAATCAGTTAAAATAGTTTCATCTAAACATAAATACAAAAGTGTTTAGAAACAAATAAATCATCTATATAGAATCTTCTCTCCAATATAAATATTTACATTCATTGTAAAGTAACCTGTTTTTTTTTATTAAGATTTATTCTTATTCAAAGATAAAACTAATTTATTATCAATAGAACATTCAATGATCTACTCAACTCTATTAAATTTATAATGAATTTAATACTTCTCATTTGTTGAGGAATCAATAACAATTAAATTAAAATATCTTACTAGTAAATAGATGTTTCACTTTTTCTATTTCAAAATTATATAAACCAAGTCCATATAAATTAGGATAATTTGTAGAAAGAAGAATACGTTCCATATTTGACGATTCAACATCGAGCCATAGGATTTTATGATGAATCGAAGGTAAAATTTGTAAAAAACGATCAATTATTGTATCAGATAATGGATGGATGGTATTATTGGAGAAACGTCTCATCAATGTTAAGTGACTTGTAAAAGTTGAATCATGTACAAATGTATTGAGCCGTTTATTAACACCTATCAAAGAATAGAGTACCTCATCATTGTTCAAATTTTTGAAAATAATCATAAGAATTTCATCAGGTAAATCATTTAATTGAACCAATGAATGTGCCATTATTATTTTCACCTCTGTATATTCATTTATAACTTTGAAATGTGATCATATATATAGACACATTCATTTCATCTATATGACCTTAGTCGTCAACGAAAATAATGGTGCATTTTTCGGTATGATGGAAAAAGGTAGAAAGGAAAAATATAGAAAATAAAAATGTCGAAAACAAAAATACGAGGTAAAGATGAATATTTAAGATTGAAGGTGAGGGTGGGGCAGAGTTGGAACCGGTCCGGCAATCCGGCTCCGGTCCGGCCGGACCGGACAGGACCGGACAAGACCGGACAAGAAGTTAAACCGGGCCGGACAGAACCAGATTTTTGCCAGTTCATCATTACAAAATTGTTGTTTGCATCCAAGAATTTTCTCTACTGAAAATGATTTTTTTTATGATATTTTCAAGTCAGAAGAATGTGTTTGCGAAAGACTCAATAGATATCTTGTCTTCGACTTGACTATAAACGATTGATTTTTCTCTTTATATCTCTATCGATTGATTTTTCTCTTTATATCTCTATCGATTTCTTTTTCGTGTATCGCTCAATTTAGACTTGATCAAATAATTTATTCTCTTGTTCTACTTAGGTAGCTGCCTGAATCAAGAAAAATAAAAATTTACATTTTTATGTTAGATGTGATATAAACTTGCTTTTTTTTTCTTTTTTGAAATTAAGATGAAAAACAGATTTGATCTGAATAGCTAATTTATATCGATGTCGGGCTCGAAAAGTCGACGCACCTTGCTATAAAATATGAAGGGAGAGTTTCAGTTCCAAGTTTTAGTTTCCAGTTCGGATTAAGGGTGGCGATTTGCTGTTAATTTATTATAATTTTAAATTGGATTTACATAAATTTAAATTTTCTAAAATTATTTAAATTTATTTCAATCCAGTTTAAATCAGTATAAATTCAATCTAAACCAAATAAAATTCAATTTAAACTCATTTAATTGGATTTAAATCCTATATGAATTAATGTAAATGGATTTAAATCCAATTAAATGAACTTAAATCGAATTTTATTTGATTTATATCGAATTCATATTGATTTAAACTGGATTTAAAGAAATTTAAATAACTTTACAAAATTTAAATTTATGTAAATCTAATTTAAACTCCAAATAAATAAAACTTTTTAAAATTTATTTTAAAATTAAATTTCTTAAAATTTATTTTTGGATTTATAAATTATTCGTAAACGTAAATTGATCACCCCTAGTTGGGATTTCTGCATGTGAATATTCAATTCCCCTTCGCCAACATTTTATGTTAACAGATACTTTTATGGTCGGTTATTTTCGCCGGATTTTTGCCAGTTTGGCTGTAGAATTCGTCCGGCCGGTTGCTGACCGGACCGGACCGGACAGATTTTTTAACCGGCCGGACCGGACCGGACAGAAAAAACCTGTCCGGTTCCAACTCTGGGGTGGGGAGATTTGTACTTCAATATACTCTCGTTTACAGTATTTCTAACCATCTACATTTCTTTTATTTTTGTTTTCGATATTTTTATTTTCGACATTTTTCCTTTCTACGTTTTTCCATCATACCGCATAAAACAGTATTGGAATAGTATCTATACATTCAGTCTTAGTAGTTAGCAGCATGTGGGTGTGGGTGTGGGTGTGGGGTGTGGGTTTCCGCGAAGAGAAGATCCACACCCAAACCCCCACCCCCACCCCACAGGCACACCCACACCCACCCGTACCCACTCACACCCACACCCACCCTATATATTACAGGAGGATCACCACTCTTAATATTGTTCGACACCGCCGATTCGCCTTATTTTTTTCTTCTATACACGTGCATTTCTATTTATTTACTCCTCCGTCTTATATATTCTTATAAACTAGATAATGAATAATCGTTCATTTCAGTCGACAGACGACGGTCTAGTATACATGCATTTCTCTTCATTTTATCTGAAAGATAGACAAACATATCTATTCTACAAAAAAATTCTTTGATTTATTTTTTAGTTTGTAAATTTAATAAATTCGTGTTTTCAATAAATGTCATTGAATAATGGTCAAGATTACCCAGACAGTACGGATATATTTGTTCGAATAAATAGGGATGGTAAAAAATAGCAGTGATACACTGCCTCATCGAGTCACTTCGAATCAGTTTTGTCGTTCTGTCATTATATGATGTCATCCATACGAAAGAAAATTCTTTTTTTTTTCGTTGTATCTCTTATATGTACACGAAAATGGATTTCTTTTCGCATGGATATCATCGTATAACAACAACCATATTGAGAGAGGTTAAAAATCGACTCTTTTTTGCGGCAGGCGGATCGAGCTGAAATTTTAGGATATGAATTATGGCTAATACTTACACATCTTGTGAAAGTTTCATCTTCATACGTATAATGGTTGCAGAGATATTTATTTTTATTGTTAGAAGCCCGAATTATAAAAATAAATATCTCTGCAACCATTATACGTATGAAGATGAAACTTTCACAAGATGTGTAAGTATTAGCCATAATTCATATCCTAAAATTTCAGCTCGATCCGTCTGGCGCAAAAAAAGTCGATTTTTAACCTCTCTCAATATGGACAAAAGTAGCTCGAAGTGACGTGATGAGGGACTGTGTCACTGCCATTTTTCTCATCCCCAATAAAATATTTATTTTATATTTTATTACTAGATGATTATGACCGAGATTATCATTCATTGAAACGTGGTAAGTTGTATATATTTCCAAATGAAAAAACTTCTATAAAAATGTTTTTGTAGCTCGTACAAGTCGCATAGGTAAAATTTCATCCGATTATTTTCAATCTCGTTCATATTCTTCAACAGGAATAATGGATGAAAAAACATCGTTCGAATACTTGAAACATGATTTAAACAACTATAAAGATATGATATGATTACAATTAAAAATCAATCTTATTCAAAACATAATGATTAGATGATGGATGTCATTTAGCATCAGAATTTTATCAAGCAGTTGTACTTGGTGAACATGGTCTTACATTAAATATAAATAATTCATTTTGTTTTTTTTATCAAAATTATAATTTAGTTCAATTTCTTTCTTGTTATTTAAATAATGATATTCGAAAACATGGTGAATTTTTTTTTCTAAAACTTTATTTTAAAAATTTCTCTTTTCTTTTATTCGTCTAGAAATTTCACTAAACGATTATCCATTACTTGTTCGAAAAAATATTAAAATCTCTTTGGTTTATAACAACTGATACGAATCAAGTTCGTCGATATCTCTTAAAATCATTTGGTCATCCAGCAAAAGAACATAAATTTGCTAAAAATGACAATGAACAAATAGCAGTTGCTGATTATTTTAATGACAAATGGCAAATTCCTTTACGTTATCCAAATTTACCTGTTGTAGATTATATAATCCAGCTGATAAAAATAAATCACATGTTTTTCCAATAGAATAAAATTTAAAAGAATTCGGTAGAAAAATTCAATGCAAAATTAGATGATGGTAATCAACTTGTTTCATTAATGCAATTATTAACATCAGCATTAGTTCGTAGTCATGTATTTATGTTTTGTTGGTATTGATTGTACTCGTATAATATGTTTATGTAAACGACCAGCAATTGCTGCTGTTATTGGCTCAAAAGATTCAACAAGTTTATTTTCATTAAAAAATTTTCTTTTTATAAATACTTTTTTTTTGTTTAGGTACACAATATGTTGCTCGTTTTATTCAAAAATTTTCACCAAAAGACAAAAAATAGCTCTTGAAATAATAAAAGATCTTCACATAGATATTGATGAAATATTTTAGTGAATTTTCAAATCATAATTCACGTTTATCAAATAAACTTGTTTTTTATCGAGCTAGTTGATATCGATGATGGATCATTTGAAAAAAGTACGTTATAATGAATTACGAGCTATTCAACGAGCATGTAAAGGTAAGTATGATTTTTCAAAGACAGAATCAAATGAAGAAATTTTTCTTTCTATAGAATTATATGGTCATAATCAAATTACCTCAAATTTGTTTTGATGTTGATAAAAAACGTCATAATACTCGTTTTTTCACTTGGAATAAACAATCTAATTAAACAAATAATATTCAACCAAGTTAAAATTGATTTCGATTTTGTTTTTAATGTTTAATCCTCTAGAATTACAAGAATCATTTCAATCCAATTCAACATAAAAATATCTTGAAAGGTCAATTTTTATTATGGAATAATATTGGTGCAATGACTTGTTACAATGAACATATTCAGATCTCCTTTCATCATGTATTATATCATCGTTTAATTACAATTGATAATAAAACAGATAAATGTTCAATTGAAGATTTATTATTATCAGTTATTGTACCTGATTAATCACAAACAAGAAAATTATTATATGTATTTTATGTCCATAATTGCGATTTGAATATGCGTCAATGATCAATTAAGACTGAAAATAATGATAAAATTCAATTAATTAATTTACACGAAGCCTTTTTGGTTATTAAAACACCAAACGAATTTTTATGTTTAATGAATTTATCGACTATTCAACAGTGTATTATTTTCTTCCAAAGCTCAATTATTCCTACATGTGATCAACAAAATTATCTATGAATTACTTTTTATTCAACAAAAGTATTCTAGTTTTTTATGAAAAACTTCTTTTTAATTTTGTTTTTGTTTAGATTTTCCACAAGAACAAGCAATGGCTTTTTATACTTTTGAAAATAAAAAATGGTATATGTAACAGATAAATAAATTCGATTTTCTTGTCATTGACATCATTTTCTAGATGATTATCTTAAGATAAAAATTGTTTTGGACATATGTCTACATTGTTTTTTGAAAAAGATAAATTAACTATGATTTATCTTTGAGTTTTTTTTTATAGATAAAATGGACATAAATGCTCTGAAGCTTTTATTTTTCATATACAAGGGAAAATATCATAATAATTACGATAAACTTATCTTAACGGCTCATTGGTCATTAATCAATTTCGCTTTTGTCGTGAAAGATAAAAATGAAGAGGTAACGAATTATATTTTGTTCTATTGATGTTTATTATTTTTATTATATTATAGGAAAATATGTTATTTACGTTTCATCGAAATACACATAATGTTCTAATAATCAAGTATATATACAACGGTCAGGTTTACGCCGATTCGTCCCTGATTGGTCCCATCCCCTATTCGCCCCTTTCTCGTCCCTAATTATCTATTAATCAAGAGGGTGGGGGTGTGGGGGTGAGTCTATGGGCTTTTTTATTTCAAACTGAATTCTAAAATCAAAAAAACCACACCAATTTCTTCCGAATCAAACTTTTCTCGCTTGATACTACGTAGTCTCACTAAAAACCCTTAGTCCCCCCTAGTCCCCCCTAGTCCTGCATAGTCCCCCTTAGTCCCCCCCACAAAAAGCTTAGCCCCCGCTTAGTCCCCTGTGCAGGGGACTAAAGCCTATAGTACACAAAACCACAAGCACACCCTCACCCTCACTCGCGCGCTCACACCCGCACCATGGGTGTGGGTGTGTGTGGGTCCCAGACCAACATCCACACCCTCAGTCACCCCCCCCCCTCACTCCTAGACTCACGTTTCAGTTTGAAATCAAGTATTATTTTTATTTGATAAATTCAGACTGAAATTAAATAGCCCATTGTATGGTGGGGGTGAGGGTGTGGGTGTTTATGTGAATCTTTAATTTGCTCACACCCACACCCACACCCCAAAATTGACGAAGTTGCAACTTCGACAAAATTGTTGACGACGTGATGTGTCGATGACTACCTAACAATGGTTAGTAATTATCCTCTACAAGATGCCACTATAATAGGTGCATTCAAATAAAATTAGGGACGGATTGAGAAAAGGACGAGTTAGGACTCAATTAGACTGGGACGAATTTGAGATGGGACGAATAAGGGACGAATTGGGGAGCGACCAAACGGTCATAATGTTGAAACGCAACATTTTTTCGAAGGTGGAATGATTAAAGTTTGTTTTAAAGTAAGTTTATTCAATTTGTATTATTTTTAAGTTTCTTTTTATATATAGTTTAATGCTAATGGAAATCCTAAAACATTCGCTATTAAACACGACGATTTCATGAGTCGACAACAGTAAGTTAAAAATTTCTTACTCTCCTTCATTATTGATAAATGTTCATTATTTATAGTACTGATGTTGAAATGGAAAAATTATCTGATTTAAATACAAAATTACGAACGAGATTATATCAAATACTCCGCGAACTAGGCCTTCAAGGAGAACAGTAGCAAACAACAACATAACGTCCATTACAACAATTGATATTGATAAAAGAAGAATAAATATTAACATTTCCATCAACTGAAAAATGATGCTTTTCTTTGTTAGATAGTTATCATTCAGAAAATAAATTATTTTGCATCAACATATATTGTCTAATGATGATGTTCAACTGACTTTTCTGTTTCTTTCGAGTTATCGCCTATGCTTATCTTTCACTCTGATTCGATCTTAATAAAAGAAAATGACGGTCAGATTCTCAACTGTAACAAAAAGCATTGCTGATAGTGCTTATTTGTTTACATTCCACCATATTTTTACACAGCTGTTGCTACGGTGTTAAGTGAGAAAGAAACGATTGTTTTTCAACAAAGATTATGACATGTACGAGCACAAAAAAAGTAGTGTCGAAAGATTATACAACAAAGTACATCTCCACTGTAATTCGACAGAACGAAAAAAAATTCATATCCGCCAAAAATTCTGATAAATAATAATAGAATGAATTGCAATCTTCTACGAAGTCGAATAAAAAATGTTAACTTTGGTGGCTCGATGAGGTGAATTCAACGATTAATAGTATAACAAAAAATTGTTGAATAGAAATATATCCCTTCTCTATGGATTAGAGAATCGATTGATCAATAAACACAAATTACGGAGATCTTGAAAGCTTGACATCGAAGCAATGCTCCGGCTGCTCTTTTTACGTCGATAAAACCTCAACAGCTAAGTCATTGTCATTCTCTTCCGGGATTTTGACTTTTTCTTACTTCTAATTACTTATATTGTTCAAGGAGAACAGTATAACGTATATGAATTTTTCTTATTATTTTATCGAGCAATCGCATAAAACAGTATTGGAATAGTATGTATACATTCAGTCTTAGTAGTTAGCAGCATGTTTTACTGTATTTGCATCGTTTGATATCTAAATATAGATTGATTAAATATTTTATTGTCGCTCAAGAGTGATTTAAGGGATATATAAATTTAATTATTTTTGTAGTCTTATTATTGGCACAAAATTTATTTTTCTCAATTCGCATTTATGTCGATTTGTTTTTAATCTTTATTTAAAAATGTGATCAATATTAGTTAATAACAGTGTTACTTCGCACATTCATTTTAGTTTTGAGTTTTTTTTTTCAATCAATGTAGAAAGGTACGAAATGTGTCTTTTCTTCATCTACTCACATTCATATTCACATGTTCTTTCTTTCTACTATTTATTCTATTATGTGTAATTTTGTTGTCTCATTAATTTTTATCAAAGTATATGACTGTTGTTTCTTGTATCATCTTTTATTGTGTTTAATGATAAAATTGTTGATCGATACAAAAATATTAATACTATTTTATTAAATTGAAATCATTTAAATGTATCAATCAGAAATTTAATTATAATTATTATGTGAAAATGAAATAGCAGTATGATTTTATTCTGTAAGTAAACTTTAACTTGCCTACTGATATTTCTTACAAAGAAAAAATTTGATTGAAAATTTCTCAAGTATAGTTTATGATTATTGACTTGAATGATCTCTTATGTGTCTTCATTTATTATTCTTATCCAAATTGATATAAGTATTCATAGCTTATTTTTGACATTTATAAAAATAGAAAAATTGCAAAGTATTAAAATCATCTTTAATAATATAATTCAAATAGATGATTAGTACACTTTTCATTTATAAATCTGAAACTATATTGTATCAAATATTCTTATTTGTATAAAGATAGAGATGAAATTTCTATTTCGAGTTCTAAAAGCTTAATATAACATGTTTGCTCATTAATTATAAGAATCATTAGAGATGGGTTGTGCTTTTTTTTGTCATATCGTAATACATGAAAAAAAATCATTAAGAGATTTGATTATAAGACTTGTTGTAGTTTCATAGACATATTTATCTTTATTAACTACTATAAATATTCTTTATCTAAAGATTTATAAAATAATATCACTTATGTCTATTTATTTATTTATATATTTTTCTTTTAGAATATTCTTAAACTTTTAAAAATCAAACTTACGTTTTGATTTATCAAAATTAATATCAAGAGTTTTGTTTTTTTTTTAAATCAAAAACAGTCTTCTCATGATGAATGATGTTCTGATCGACTTTGATGAAGAAAATTATTCATGTTTTTCCAATAAAGAAGAATTCTTTTTTTTTTTCTTTTACCATTTTCTTTCTAACAGTTAACATAGATTGAGTTATATAAATATAAAGTTAAGTAAAAAAAAAAAGAAAAAAAGAAAAGTACCATAAAACTATATTATTTGAAAAAAAGAAGTACTCGTTTGTTTTTTTTTTTAGAAATGAAATCTGTATTGCTCAATAAGAGAACATTCTAACTGACATAGAAGAATAACAACAAAAAAAAAAAGAATAGATGTGTGACATGGTGAATATCTGTCTATAGTCATGAAGCTGTTTGTTATTCCAACATATTGCTTAGTTTGACAAGACATCATTGTCTTTTTTACATATATTTATAATTCTTTAGAAAACTAAGATGACAGCTAGTGGAACAGTTGCTTTTGAAAATTCTGAAATATCATGGCCACGTTCACTTCGATTTTGGCTTTTACTTATATTTGATATTCCATCAATAGCATGTTCACTTTTTGTTCTTTATCATTTATTAATTAATAGAAAATCTCGTCATGCTTTACATAATCATACAATTATTATATTATTAATCATAGCACTTATATTTCAATTAACTGATATACCATGGTATCTTGATTTTATTCGACAAGGTTTTGTTTGGCCATCAATACCTGTTCGTTGTCTTTTATGGTGGTTAATTGATCTTGGATTTTATAATACAGCTGCACTTATTCTTGCTTGGACATCAATTGAAAGACATATACTTGTTTTTCATAATCGATGGATATCAACAAGAAAAAAACGTTTTTATGTTCATTATCTTCCATTATATATTCTTATTATTTATTCAATTACTTATTATACAATAGTTATTTTTTTTCCACCATGTCATCATACATATACATATATATTACCTGTATGTGCTGCATCACCATGTCATCTTTTTCATCCTATATTAGGTTTATGGGAAATGGGTATACATGGATGTTTATCAACAATACTTGTTGCATTTTTTAGTATATCTTTACTTATACGTGTTATTATTCATAAACATCGTCGTAAACGTGTATTTCGATGGAGAATATATCGTAAAATGATAATTCAATTATTATCAATTTCAATACTTTATTTAGTTTTAAATTTTCCTATTATGATTATGTCTGTTGCACATCTTTGTGGTTTACCAGCATATATTGGTGTTGAAGCACAACAGATAACATTTTTTTTAACATATTGGGTTATGTTTCTTTTGCCTTTTGTAACATTATCATCATTACCTAGTTTAAGAAAAAAAATATATACAATTGGTTTTTTTAAACGTCATCGTCAAAAAACTCTTCATATGACAATGACAAGAATAATTAGTAATAATCAAAGTCCATTACAGTGGACATATATGCCATGATATTTTTTTCGAGCTTTATTTTATTCAAAAAATAAAATAAAATAGATATATCAATAGAATATTTACATTATTTTTTTTTTGATCTTTTGTTTTTTTTTTCGAATAAAATTAAATTGATATCACAAAAATTTATTTTGATAATATAGATTAAATCTCTAACATTTTATTATAATTTAATATCTAAGAAATATATTTAAAGAAATGTGAAATATTGAGTTATTTTTATAAATGATACTTCAAACAATAAGAAAACAAATAATTCATAGTAAAAAAGATATTATCGAGATATTTAGAGAAAAATTTTTTTATCATATTCAAATCAATATTTGTCCTAGTTTCTATTAATCAAATCTAAAATAATATTTTCTCTTTGATCGTAAGAAAAGAAAAGCAATCGGAGAGCTATTTACTCTATCTTTGAATATTATTATTCTATCGTCAGGTTATGTCGTCAGCTAGTGTAAAAAAGAATAATCTTCATAATATAATAATGTTTGTTAAACATTTCTTTTGTTTTTTTTGAAAAACAAGATCTACTATAAAAAAGGACCTGTGTATAGGGTGTCTATCTAATGAAAGGTCATACCGACCAAAAAAAAGTTTTCTTTTATAACTAAAAGATGTAATCTAACAGCTAAAGTAGAACACAATGAATTGGAACGTCTATTTTTTTCCATGTTAACAAGTGGCAACACAAATAAAGAGGTTAAAATATACAAATGTAATCAACTTACACATCAAAAAGAAAACGAGACAAAACAATGAATGAAATTTCTTTAAGAATCAATTCAAGCATAGTATTTGTTACTTATTCTTTCTTTTCATCTTCTTACATATTAATAATCCATGCATTATCATTATTATTATCATATTCTCTTATTACCAAGTCAAAAGCATTTGACTGATTCTTTTGTAGTTTTGCATATTAATGTATCTCTTTTAAATAATAGATATGACCTATGCTGTAATATTCAAGTCTAAATGGAAATTTATTGAAAACAAAAAACATGAGAATGACAAATGTTTTCTTATATAATTTAATCTTAAGACAAACGTTCATATCTTATGTGACTTTAGTTCATTCATCAAAAAGTCTTGAACATTGAGAAAAATCTTGATATGATTTATACAAATGAAATGTGAAAGATAAATAATGTCATTATTTCTTATTGATCAGCTGAATCAAGAGGTTTTTTTTTTAGTTCATTTCAAATTATTAATATAAATTTTATTTCAATGAAAAAAAATTATATTTGTATCTGAGTTGGAAAAAACAAAAACAGAAAAATCAACTATTCAATATTATATCATTTTTAGTATTGTTTTCAAAGAAGAAAAAGTGAATCGAGAAGTTATAGATTCTATAGACTTTTAGTAATTAATAGAATTGATTATTTTTGTTCTTTCTTAATTTTAAATTATAGTAAACTTTTTTTGAATATACTAAAAGTTGGTTGTGTTTTTTTTTTTTTTTGTTGAATGAATCGTATTTATCTTATATTAACATCATCGAGAAACTATTGTCAAGTAATAAATATAATATAGATATTTATTAGTTATTATGTAAATATAAGAAATCCTATTTACGTTTATTGAAAAATAATATTTTATATCAAACATTAGATTTTCTTTTTTTCTTAATTTAATATAGTTTCAATGAAGTTTTGATTTTTATGATATTTGCTTGAAAATAATCAAAAATCGCAACAATCAATGTCTTATTGTTATTTCTATTTCAAAACTAATCAATGAAACCTCTAATCTAATCATCTATGATCGAGTTATTAATAAATATAAATTTATTGTTTTCATCTGATCAAATATACTCATAATTCTTCAATATATAGTCAATAGTTTATTATTAATTTAAAAAATAAAACTATAAAAAATAGTAATCATTATTATTTAAAACTTCTTTTTAATATAAGAATCTACGTATATGTAAACATTAAATATTTAACTGAATCAAATAAGAAATTGTGTACAAAAAAATAAATAAATACAAACTGGAAGCTTACAAGAAATTTTCGTGAATTTTGAATAGTATTTTCTTTTTGTGAAGTACTACTTCCTTATTGTATCTGTAGAGAAGGATGATTAACAAAAAAATGTGTCACAAAATAGATAGAATAAAACAATTTACCTATGATTTGCAATCATAGATACATCATATTTTATATTTGAATCTTACAAGGATGGCGCTAACAGTTTTCTTTTGAGAGATCAAAAAAAAAACAAAAATATACAATACAAAACTTTGAAATATTTTAATTGAATTTATAACTATCAAACACAATTCTATTTAATAATTATTTGTATTTTTGACAAAAGAAAAAAACGCTAGTTGTTTTCTTGTCACATAAGTATATAATTTACAGTTAATCTACCTAAAGAAAAAAAAAAGCACATTCTTAGTCTTATATGTTTCATTAAGTTATTTTTCAATAATAAGTTTTTTTTTGTTTGGCTTCTTCGCAACGCGAACAACAGTCGTTGGTGTTGAATGTATGTCTTAGACAACGAACAATGTCTTTGTTGACAAGAAAAAAAAAACTAGAAGAATTCAAATGAAGCATATGTCGTTGTTTTGAATAACTAACAAATTTGACTTTGTCATTGATAATGAAGCAAAGAATATCTTGTGGATATTTTTATTCATTTTTGATTGTAAGTATTGGATAATATTTATTATAAAAGTATGATGTTCATATTCGCTTTTTTTGTCTTTTAAATAGATGTTATTATTTAATACTATCTATTCAGCAACTCTTACAAATATATGTCCTGATACACCTTCGTGCAATTGTACACTTACTAATGATACAGATTTAAATATAATTTGTAATTCAACATCATCTCCTACACAATTGCCTACACTCTCACCTAGTACACTTCAAACTAATGTTAAAGTATTACATATTAGTTCATCAATAACTAATACGAAAGGTCCACTAACAACTTTACCAACAAATATTTGTTCTTATCCAAATCTTGCTACACTTGATTTATCATCAAATAATATAAGTGGTTTATTAAATACATCTGAGCTTGCTTGTTTAGGTTCAAATTTACTTCATGTTGATTTTTCATATAATAATATAAATGAAATTGATGTAAATTTTTTTCAAGCAAATCGACAATTACAAACAATAAATTTTTTTCAAAATAATTTAACATCAATGCCATTAATTGATGGAGAATATTTTGTTAATTTTCCTTCAACAATTATATCAATGAATTTTAGTTATAATCAAATAATTAGTGTAGATTTTTGGCCTCTATTTGTTATCACAAGTAAATAAAAAAATTTTCTTTTTGTTTTTTTATTTTCTTTTTAATATATAGAAAATACTATGGAAATTGATATGAGTAATAATTTAATTGAAAGTTATACAAATACAGTTCCAATATCTTTAGCACAGTTTACTCAACCACCAGATCCACGATATTTTTATTTAAATAATAATAAACTTAAAAATTTATCTGATCTTTTACTTGAACAATATGGTGCATGTCCAACAACAAATTCAATAAGTACAGCTTTTTTTATTGTTGGAATATCTAATACATTATTAACAAATAATTCATTAATATGTGGTTGTGACTCTTATAACTTAATAACATATATTAATGATAATATATATGATTTTCCTGAAATTAATAATCGTACTGCTTTATTAACACAAGCACAATGTTCATCACCTTTATCAATGACTGTACAACAATATATTTTTACAAATTTTACTGATTTAAATAATTGTGAAAATTATATATTACCAAATATTACAGATATTTTTTGTTCACTCTATATAAATGATAGTAGAATTACATTAACACCACCTACTTATTGGCCAAATACAACAACAACAATAACAACAACAACACAGACATACAATACTAATACAGCAACAGGAACAAATGTAAGTTTATTTGTTTTCTTTTAAAACATAATCTAAAAAAAGTTTTGAAGTATATAGAGTCGAACTTATATAATAATATATCAATTACTTCCTAATTCTATTACTAGAAGATTAAATAAACAAAGGGTGCCAAAAAAAAATATGTCCCAAAATAGACAGAATAAAATAATCTTTGTATGAAATAGTATCAGTAACTACATTATTTTTTTTTTTAAATTGTAATTTTAGAATGGAAATACAAATGGTTCATCAACTTCTGTTACATGGTATATTATCTTGGGTATAGTTCTTGGTTTAGGAGTTATTTTAGCAATAATAACAGTTATGTGTTATCTATATCAAAAGAAGTTTTCTCCAAAAACATATCAATTAAATGCTACGAATCATGTTCAAACTGATGAAATAAAATCACATCGTATTTCAATGGCAACATCTGCATGTGAATTTGATGATCAAGGAAAAGAAACACAATTGGTATTAGTATTATATAAATTTTTATTATGATTTTTTTAATTTTTATTTAATAGAATGATGATGATTTACATTCAAATTTACCAAAGAATTATTCATGTAAGTCATATATATTTATAAACTAAGTTTTGAGTAGAAAACTACTATTGAATTAGTATATACAAATAATCTTTCTGCATATTAATAATTAAGATTCGAAATGATGAGCATGGATATTTAAGCACGTATAAATATATTTGAGTATAGATGTTAGTCTTCTCATCGTTTTCATCTATATTAAAATCCTTCACTTTTCAATGCTAAATGTTCTCTTGTTTATGGTTCATCAATCCTAAAAAAAAAAAATCAGTACCTTAAAAACTTTTCTATTATTCATACATAATAATTATATATATGCTTGAATTATTTATGAAGATCAATACTAGAGATTGATCAACTTTTTTGTTCAATCCGAATTCATATAGTAACCATTCGGGTAGATAATTTTAGATCCTATATGTAAATAATTTAATTGTATTAAGAATAGAATCGAAAATATTTTTGTAATGATAGAGCAATTATTTTTTTTTTGTCTCAATCATCTATAGTAGAACTTAAAGTCTAAATTAATATTAAACTTTATGTTTTATATTATCAATATAATAAAAATTTTATTAGATTGTTCGATTAGTTTATTTTATTAAGAATGATTGTTTTAAAAATTAAAATTATTCATATATATAGCTTCAAATGATCAAAATAATCCTGAACAAGAAACTCAAACATCTTTTCAACCTGTTCGTTCAAAACCACCTACAGGTCGTTTACCTTCAGCATATAGTTCTCAACAAATAGATAATAATCATATACAAAATTCTTTACATCGTAAACGTAAATTATCCGTTCCATCAGCAGCAACTGATATGGCAACAAATACAACAAACGTTGTTAAAGGTATTCCAATACCAGCAGGATCAATAAAATCTCAATCTATAATTTCAAATAATACTGATACAACACCTAATGCTAATAGTTCTCAATTAAGTATTGCATCTATTCCACTTGTACCATCAAAACGAGCAAAACTTTTACCACAAGTTAAAAGTGGAATTTATACTGATTCAAAAAATGATAATTTATTAAATACATCAGCAGGTGCACTTGTAACTAATCAAAGACAACGACGACGTAGTTCAATGTGGATTCGAAAACAAACTCAAAATATGGTATCACCATTACCACCTCGACCTCAATCAATGGTAACACAAAAAAATACATTATTTGATTCTGATGCATCATTTGATGAAAGTATACATTGGACTCCAACTATGGAAAGTTTAACAAATAAATCATCAAAACCTTTACGTACAGTACCATTACTTAATATTTCTGTTGTACCAGCTTGGAATGATGATAGTAATGAACAACTATGAAAAGAAATATTTTTTTTTTATGAACTAAATAAGTTTGATTCAAATGATTAATCGAATAGAAATAAATAAATATGTTTTTTTTTTAAATTTATTTATAAATATGATTTTTTTTTTTGACAAAACGAAATATAATCGACGAAGAATAAGAAAAAATTTAGGTCAATCTCTATCTAAAATCTAATTATTTATATGAAAATTAATAGATTGATCTTTATGTTTTTTTAATTCTCACTCCTATAATAATAATAATAATAATAATAATAATAATAACTTCTAGCAGAAAATGAAAAACTATAAATTGAAAAGAGAAAAAAAAAAGAATAGAATAAATAATAAGGTTATAGGAAATTAAAACTAGGCTAGGACGGATGACACAATATAAAAAGAAAAAAAAAAAAGAAGTTCTCTTTCAACACTTAATTTATTGATTAGGTACAACTTGTCCAAGTCCACTTTGTTGAAGAATATTAGCTATACCTGGATCTGCTCCATCGAATAAAGTTGCATGATAAAAACTATCATTACCAGTAGCATAACTTGGTACATTTGTTTGATAATTAGCAGCTGCTCCGTATGGTTGTCCAACAATATTTTGTTGACCACCACCACCTTGAGCCCATTGTTGAAATTCTTCTCCACCAATTGTACCATCTAGATTTATATTAGCTTGATTAAACATTGCTTTACCAACATCAAATTGTTGTCCACCAAAAATATCACCAGTACCACCTATATCACCACTTAGACCAGCACCAGAAAAATTAAAATTGTCACCACTTAGACCAGCACCAGAAAAATTAAAATTGTCACCACTTAGACCAGCACCAGGAAAATTAAAATTGTCACCACCTGCATGCACTGTTCGTGCTGTATTAAACATATGTTGTTGAAAATGAAGAGCATCAACTGGTGTATATGCTGGACGTACATTAATACCAGGTGGTAATTGTCCACCGACAAAATCCATACCTGATTGAAAAGCAGCATTAAATCCTCCCATAGCTCCATAATCAATATCTACAATAACATCTTTAAAAGCATCAGGACCAAGTAATTCATTATAAACTTGATGAGCTGGTATTTGATTAGGAAAACTTGAAACAAAAAAATAAAATAAAATTTCTTTTCATTTTAGTTGATAACTTCTTCTTTTTTTTTTTTGTTAAATAATGAAAAAATATTTACAATTGTGGTTGAGTTTGATACTGTTGTTGTTGATATTGTTGTGGTTGTTGTTGTTGTTGATGATGAAAAAATTGTCCATGAGCTTGATTAAAACCACCTTGAGTTTGTGGACGAAATTCTTGAGAATTACTTATATGAACTTTATTAAGATCTGCTTGATTGATTATATTATGAGCAGGACCTGCATGAGGTTGTTGTTGAATAGAAGCAGTACCAGGACTCGATAAAGATCCACCACTTGTTGACGCTGTTGAACCACCTAAAATATTCAAAATATAAAATAATTTATCTATACAAATATATCTTTTATACTATAAGGACTAATTTTAGGTTGAAGTCCATGTTGTTGATATTGTTGTTGTGCTGCTGCTACATCAATACGAATGGGTTGTTGATTAACAACATTTGTTGGAACTACTGGTGGTTGTGTTGGATAACCAGTTGGTCGTTGTGGTCCAAAAACTCCAGTACCTATACTTGTTTGTTGTTGTAAAATAGGTGGTCGAATTATAGGAATACCACCAGCAGCTGGTTGTTGTGTAGGCGTTGTAGCATTTGTTAAACCTGTATTAGTTGTTGTTGCCATGCTTACTGAATCGTACGCTGTACCTGTACCAGAAGTTGTTCTTGATACATGACTTGCTGGTGATGGAATAGTTCGTAGAGTTGCTGTATCAGCAATTGAAGTACCATCAATAGTATTTGTTGCTGATGGAGCAAGGACACGGGATTCACTTTGAGATACATCTCTTGATGTTTCACTAAAATTACGCTCACGTCTTGGTGCTTCACTGTCTGAAGATGCTGCTGATGAAGATGATGATGAAGTACGTGTTGTCATTATAATATTATGTCGAATCTAAAAATTGATCTCAAGGTCTAATAGTAGACCAGTAATCGATGGCTTATTGTGGCTACGAAAGTAAGAACAAGAAAAGAAACGAAAAAAAAAAAAATTATCATTCGTAGTGAGGAGAAATCAATCAAGCATAACGAACAATAAAGACGAGAGAGTAATGAGAAAAAAAAAAAAGTGTAAGACCTACATGCATGCTATTGTCAACTAATATGTATTTTATATTGAACATTATTTCATATGTTTCAACCGTGAGATCAAAATAATTAGAAAAAATGATTTTGTAATTTTTCTTTTTTTTTTCGAAATTTGTATTGACTCTCTATTTTATGATCAAAAGTTCAATATATATATATATATTCATATATCTATCTATCGATAGATGTCACAAATATCTAGTTTCTCACGTTCTCTCTTTTATATTGCTTAAAAATATTGCAAGTTGTCTGTACAAATATTTTTATATATTCTCTCGTCGATTTATTTCACATACACTCATATTGATATTTTATTCTACTATGTTGAGAACTCTATTTTTCATCAATATTCATCCATATATAATATCGGACAATGTACACATATAAAAATGTCATTAATAAAATGAGATTGTCATATGCGTAGGATAGGAAAAAAATTTTCATTTATGAATGTTGTTATTTTTTAATCATGTTTGGTGGTTGCGTTGGCATATTTTTCTTCTTTTATTCTTCATAGAAAAAAAAAAAGGAAAACACAAGCTGTTACATTAGTGTCATTAACTATTGACTTTATGTTACTAATGGCTTGTTCACCCGTTTAAATCATTTTTTTTTCTAAATTGTTTCTATTATTCGTAATATAAGCAATATGTGTTATCATAGTATACTTATTATTTGATTTTTCTCTTTTTTATTTCTTTATCATCATATTATGTAAAATGAGAAGTATCAATTACTCTCTTTTTATCTATTCTATACTATGATAAAACATCATAAGTTTTTTTTTTTTTATTATTGTTTCATTCATTGTTTTGATTACTGTAGATAAATATTACGTATTTTTTTTTATAATATACAAATGAATATTCAATATATTTTCTTGGGATTATTTTTTATTCTTCTATTAGGTAAGATGAATTAATTAATAAAATAATTTATGTTTTGTAAAATTGAACTAAATACTAAATTATTAATCTTCATTGTTGTGTTGTTTTCGTTTTTTTTTTTTCATATATCGAAATATTTAGAAAAAAAAGAAAATTTGATTGCCTTTTAATTCAATAAGAACTTGCTGTAAAATAACTGAAATACTAATGCTTATACATTAGCTTATGATAGAATGTTTGCAAAATTCCATTGGGAAAAAAGAATGTGAATAGTTTTTTTTTTTGAATGATTTACATTATACATATGAATTTTCTATTATGTTATTTGATTTGCACTTTACATTTGAAGTGACACTTAAAAGTCTAATTTTTTGTAAAAAAAAAAAAAAAAACAGTAGAATTTTCATTGAAATTAAATACATTTTTTCTTATTGATTTCTTTTATTAATTCAAATCTGATATCTATAGCATCGAATTTTTCTGTTTAGAATATAACTGATCTATTTAAGTATTAATTTAGAAATTTCCTTTAATATAATTTTTTATTTACCATTTCTATATAAAATTTGACTATCAATAAAATTATTTTGTTTCTAATATATTTAGGACAAAGTCATTGTCTAAATATTAGACTTCTAAGAAATAGATTTAAGACATTAAATTGATCAGATGTCAATAAATATAAAATTTCTAATTTATTAATATTTGTAGAGACTTTTTTGTTTTTCTAATAAATTATATGTTTTAATCGTTAGTATTCTTTAGTTTGAATATTTTTTTTTTTGTGTCAAATTCAACATCTGATCTATTTTGTAAATGTGAAATTTTATCAGTAGGTATACGTAGATAAATAACATCAAAGAAGAAAAGAATAATTTTTGAACTAACTGTTACTATTTGCTAACTATTAGTTATTATAATACTTTAGTATTTAATGAAAATGATTATTAATTTAGAATGAATTTTTGAAAATATAAATTTGATAAAAACAAAAAAAAAAAATTCTTCTTGTAAAAGATCAAACTCTATACTTTTTCTTGTCAATGGTTTCTTCTTATGTTGCTTAACTAATAAATTGCTTTTTCTTCTTCTTCTATAGTTACATCATCGTATGAAATATCGTTGGAGGATAATAATACTAATTTAACAACTCCAAATATTTTAACTGATTCAGTAACAACATTAATTATATCAACTGCTATACCTAATGTTACTTTAACGACAGGATCGAGTAAACATTATTTAAAAAAAAAAAAAAAAACAAAATTTTTCATCTTATTTAATTGATATTTTATAATTTTCAAAAATCTAGTATAGAATATTGAATTTATTTATTTTAGTTACAACAGAAAATGTAACCAGTAATTCAACAACAACAGCAACACCTGTAACTACTATGACTGTTACGACAGCAAATATAACAACATCTTCAACAACATTAACTTCAACAAAAATAATATCTACTACAATTAAAGTACCCGGTATCATATTTATTTGAATTTAAATTTAGAAAATTCGAAAATTATGAATTTTTTTTGTAGGTCGTAAATTTGATATGCTTTCATTTATTGGTGGAATAATTCTTACAATTGGTCTTAGTGCAATTATATTTCTCATTGTAAGTTATTTACGTCGTAGTAATCGATTACCTTATTCAAATCTACGATAAATATGCATAAATAAATTTGTTGTTTTTTTCTTTGTGCTTGTATTAAAACAATATGTCCTATTATGAATTTGGATACTTTCCTTTTTTTTTCTTGATCTGTTAATTAAAGAAAAAATAAATAAATAAATTTACTAATATAATATTACTGATTGAATAAATTTAATGATCATCTATGATATATGTTGATTTTAAAGTATAATCGTATTATGAAATATTCTGTCAGTTCTCTTGCTTTTACAATGTTAATATGAAGATTTAGCTTAATATCATATTTTTAGTGACATGAAGTGTGTCCTTGATTGAAGGTATATATATATATATATGAAAGCAAGATGAAGACACATAACATGTCAAAATATGTTTTATAGATATTATTAAACATTTGAGTTTATTCATTTGTATATTATCTTTTATTTATTATACATTTGAATAAAGATTATTATTAAGAAAAAAAAAATAGTTTGTAGGTGAGAATTTATTTGAAAAATAAAAAGTTATACTGTCTCATGAATGAAATACTTAAAATAGATGATTTATAAAGTATATGATTAATTTTAGAAATAGTTTATTTAGTTTCATATTCTTCCATTTGAAAGAAATTTGTTTTAGGAGATTAATATAATAAAAATTATGTTTCTCTAGTGATCTCAATATAGAATAAATGAAATTCATTGTAAGTTTTTCGAACTGTATTGATTAATTAATAATTTCAATCTAGTATTTTGGTTCAAAGTAATTGTAGTTCTTTTATATTTAGATTAAATGATAACTATATAAAGGCTTATTTCTTTTTTTGCTCTCAATGTGCGGTTATCACAAAGCGCAGTATAGTTAATAGTAAAATCTGCGTAAAAACTGATATTTAATATGTACATTTGCTTTGAAAGCTGATCAAATCCTACTTGGTCAATATTTTGATGTTGTGCACACGACTAGTTTTTACTAGATGAATAATATCTTCATATCATATCATCTAATCAATGAATTATAGCGTTTTAATTTATCCTAATGCTCATTGTAGTTGATAGTGTTTCACATATGATTATCTAAAATGTTGAAATACAGATTCTTTGATGGAAGTTTAATTTCATTGATGAATCGTGTAAAGTTGTTCTTTGACGATGACAGTAAATCTTTGTGTGTGTGTAACTTAGCAGTATCTTGTTGAAACATAAAATCATTACCCATTAGTCTTTGACCTTCAACTTGTGCATGTGAAAAAAAAACGAACTTCAACATAATTAATGTCTTAATCTTCCATTGTATGTATTCAAATGTCTGTGGAACTGAAAGGACATTATTTATATACAGAGCTATACAATTAGTACATTTTGAAGTTTGACTGTTGATCTTACTGCTTCCTGTTCATTTTTCTCTTGTTGTCATGATACATAAAGACAATCATTTTCATGATTAAATATACAATTGAATTTCAAATATTTTTTATCAATAAGTATAATTTGTTTTCGATGATTACTTCTTAAACACTTTCTTAGCCGATATACAAATGATATTCATTGTTGTTTATGCTTTATCATAAAAGTTTGTCTCAACTATAATCAGTGCTCTTGGTCGTTATAGAAATTAAGGGAAGGAAGAGAATCATATTTTTCGGCGGAAGAGTTCAGAAATTCTTACAGACAGTCATTGTTTTCGAATTTTTTTTATCTTCAACTTAGCAGATAAAGAGCTGTGTTAAAATTTCTATTTGAGCGAGATGAAAAGCGTAATTTCATTCCTCAACCATATTTCATCTATTCAGTTATATTGATCATTCTCGATACCAATATAGAAGAAAAATATTCCTGAAATATACTGAGATCTGAATCAAGAACTATCAGCAATGACATCATAGCTCGAATCAGAGTTCACGCCATGTCAACACTCCATTTCATACATATCGATTCACATCAATGCTGACTTTAAAATCAAAAATGTTCTTTATTCTCTATTCATCATTCGTCATCTTGCAGCTTAAAAGACTCGAATCTCGTTCGACAAAACACAAATCGATATTTTGACAATGAACATAGGCAACCAAGAAACATGGTCGTTATATTCATCATATTGCTCATTTGTTTGTAGAGACCCTATTGCACATCATTTTCGTTGCAATAACAAGAAATTGAAGTGCAATCGGTGCATCTACAACCAATCTATGAGACATCAGAGTCACGAACACAAGTACTTAGGTTCTAAACGGGTCAACCAAGAGTTCCATACTTCGATAGTTACTATGTACTAGTAGTTAATACTTATGATTTGATATCTTACAATCTAGAGGAGTGTATGTAGAAAGAAAATCACTTTATTTTTTGTTAGTTATATCACACAATTGTTAATACAAGCTAATAGAAAATTTAACTCGCTTGACAGAATTTTTAGTTTCAACATAAAAATGAAGTCTATAGTTAATAATTTTGAACGTCAATCATCAATTCATTGTTCATTAACTATATTTTGCTGGAAGCTCAAGTGAAAGTAATTGCTACGAGGATATTTTCAAGCCATTCATAGCATTCTTCATTGATTCCATACCATCCATTATCTAATAAAAAGAAAAGAATCAGAAAGTCATAGAAAATAAACACTATATTATTATTATTTCAACTTACTTCTTTTGTTCGAGTCTGAAGTTCATTAATCGAGTCTTGCATTTGTCTCTGCACCTCTAAAATCAATCCATTGTCTGACTCTACCAACATCCTATCACATAATGTACAATGCAAAGAAAACTGAAAATAAACTAAAGAAACCTACGATGTTCTTTTGCTTTTGTTATGTGGTCGATACTTTTCTTCGACAAGATCACGAGCATATGTGTATGTTGCTGCATTTTCAAAATCTGTCCATTCGGTATCCAATGTTGGTGTAGCAAGACGCTCTAGATACAACAGTCAGTTTATAGAATCAATAATCAACTACGTACTAAATACTCGAAAGCATGTGTGACGACGTATAATTAATTTGATAAACAACCAAACATATATAATTAGTGAAATGGGTGGATAAATGAACATTGGCTTTTCAAAATATTCACGGGTCAATTGATAACGTTGATAGTGCCAAAAGTATTTGTTCTCAGCTTGAACATCGTTAATAGAAAAACTATATGATAATGCATTAAAATCGAATGAAAGTCTGGTTTCTTGTCTGACTTACTTGAACATAGCAATAAGTAGACTAAGAATAAGAATATTGATAAAAAGCATGTGAAATGCTAAGAAAATATGATTAACTGTTGCTTCTGTTATTTCATTTGCTGAGCTCATGTTTGACGAGATGATGTCTATGAGATGAAAAAGAATGCTTCGACATTTCTCTATAAATAAAGAGTAATTTACCATCCAAACTTTTCATCTCGTCTTCAACAATCGAATACAAAAACCAATAAGGACGATAAAAAATGGAAGCTGATAGATTATTTGCAGTAAATTGGATACTTGAATACATAGTCAATGCACGTGAAACTACACCATAGGCAGTGATACACACAAAAATGATGTAGATCATACCAGTGAGATCACGCATCTTAATTAGAAAAGATATATAAAAAGGGCAGTATGTAAAATCCAGTGATTACCATGTTGCGGATCATGAATAGTTTAGGTCCCAAAAGTTTAACAGTACTAACAAAGCGCAATGAAAAGAGATACCATATTTCAAGATCCAGAGCCAATACAATCCTATATTCGGTTTGCATTTAAACCATTTCTTATAATCATGTTTTCATCTTACTCACCTAGCTGCAGTAAACAAATCGGGGCGAACTCTTGAACCAAAGTGAAGTCCAATGCCGATATAAAATAGAAGATAAGGTGTGATATTAATAATCACCATCCACAAGTCCGCTTTGTGCCATCGTTCCAACATTAGTGTATGAAATTCGACAATGAGCTAGACTTTCAGATATATCATAGGTAATCTTATACGGAAGTAGTCAATACTAACCTTTCGTATATCTTCGATAAGAGCTGCAGAAATGGTAATAATCACATAGATTTCACTCCAATGAATTGAGGCGTTTGAAGATTTCATATGGAATAGCATTAAATAGCTGAATACCAGCAGAAACCATATGTAGATCAACTATAAAAAAAAAGCTCTCGATGAATAATACTAGCATTTATATCATATATTTGTTTGAATTAGACTTACAAACTGATAAGATACCATTACAACAGGACTATTATGAAACTGTATTAATTTACGTCCATATCCGGCTTCTTTATTTGACTGATCGTCTATGCCACGGAATCCTCTAAAACATATGCATAGCACCTTTTTCCACAGAAACAATCCCAGTTCAACTATTTTTCTAATTGTAAACCAGCCTAGTCAATTTGTTAAAGTAGTCTCGGCCTGAGTAACGTGATCCTTAAGTCCATGGAAAAATTGCTAATTTCGATTTCACCTATTTCAGTTTTGGTAGGCGAAATCAAAATAAAAGATACCTGTCAGAGATATTGTTTGGAGTATGTTCATCTTGGTTGCTCTAATGCATGAAAGAACAAAGCATCGAATATGAATTAATCATAAATGCCTGTCAGACCTTTCTTTGGGGCTTATCGACCCAGTGGTAGTTAAGAAATAGAGGTGCCAACACACCAAACGAAGCAAGATGGAGGATGAATTTGCATGCGCCCCACATTGATTCAATTGAAATACTACTTAGGTGACGATACCATTGTCGACTAAGAAATTGATTGAAACAGTTCGTGTTGATGAATGGAATGCAGCGCGACGCAATTGCTGCCTATGAATAGAAAAAATTATAACATCTCTCGGATAATTAATTCTGACTAACATACTTGCATGCATGTAATATTTCCGAAGAGAGGTATTTCACGTGAGAGTAATTGACATGCAAGTCTTTCGTTGTGTTTGTAACACGTATCAATGCATGCTGTGGCATACTCCTCTAAGGCTGCTTGATGTTCCCTGTACATGTTTATTATGTGTGGATTACGACCCATCAGGGACAAGCGATAGGCCATACCGGCTCCTACGAGTGCTGCACTAATGCGTGATTTGATTTGGAGCAAGAGAACAAATGCTATATCAATGTAGCCTTTGTAGATACTCCACAGGAAGATATCACGTAACATTTCTTGTTTACCATATGGCTTCTGGCATTCATAACGCACATCCGTCTTCGCATGTGTTGATGGCTGAGTACGTATTACTAATACATTCAATGTTTCGGATTCTGATTCGAAGTGACCGCTTTGCCGCCTAGTCCATTGTGAAGGATAACAATACGATGAAAATCCTCTCCAGAAACGTTTGAATGTGCCTTCGTTTCTTTGATAGAAAGACTCAGCATATGGTCCAATCAGTTTATAGTATGTTGTATCGAGTTCTGCAAGTGTACGTGGAACTGGATATGTCTAGTTTAACAATACAAAAGTCAAGCAGCTGATATATACAAGGCAGTTAAGATCTTATTCGATGTACCATTTTCAAGTACTTCACTAAATGCTCGAATTCTTAAGAGACCGTACTCTCAGTTCTTTTGTGCAAACAAATAATGGGAGTCCAAATTGTTGCACATATAGTTGCTATCTGATAAAAAACATTATAGTATACTCTTTTTTGCTTAAACTAGTAAATGCTTGAGGTTACAGTTTACTTATCAAAAATTATTTCTATTTTCTAATTTCATTCCTTGGAAATAGTTATCCAAGTACTTAAAACAAATACATTGACTATATTAGTCTCTTACCACAATAGATCCGTGACTAGAATTTTGGTATAGATCTTCTATGATAAACTGAAGTGCGTATTTCACACACATTTTTTCTTCATCGTCAAAGTTGTTTGATGATGCTTGGTTTGAATTTGATCCTTCGAATAAAGTAAATCACTTATGATCAATTTATTGACTATATTGATAAAGAATTCAGTGATATCTGCAGTGGTTCACTCTGAATTAAAATTACCTGTATTTCTATTTTTGACAAATTTAACTGTTTCTAATGGATTGTAATATCGCCGCAAGAAATAATCAACAAACAATGGTCGATTTTCCTTTAGTGCTTTTTCGAATAACTTTGGGTAGCATTTTCGTCCTACATCTTGTATGGTAGTATCTGTTGGACCGACATTCGATGCTTGAATTCGTTTGAACAGGTCGTGTGCTCCATCTACACAATTCCAACTCACTGCTAGCTCTAGCAAGTTTTCTGAAATCTGTTCTTCAGTTTGACCTAGAAAATAATGTTTCGATTCAATAATTAAGTAGGAATTACCTGGAAGCTCTTACAATCTAGAACTGCTCGAAATATTGTATTGGTGAGGCTGATATCGCGTCCAAGTTGAAAAACATTCAAATAGGACCGATATTGAAGTCCAAGTATCTTGCAAATATTGTTAATGGTTGTTCTTTGTTCTTGTTCGGTAGGGCGGCACAATGCAGGACAAAGCTTAAGCTGTTGCTCCACTTCATTTTCTCTAAAGTGAAAATAAATAGAATCTGTAAGTCTAAATAATTTCAGGTTAAATATGTCTTACGTAATGGTAGCTGTTTTTCCTGCCTTTTCAAGCAGATTACCAAGAACAGTAGCTAAGCGACCACTTCCATGAACAATTACTATCGGTCTCTGAGCATTCAAATCATTTTGAATCACTTCGAGTGTATTCAGACCACCTTCCACAATGATCGTTATAGCATGGCAATGTGTTTGACCGCACGTTGCTTTGACAAACTCGGAGCGAGGACCATCATTAAGATAATGATTAAGACGGCCATCATCGAGCAGAAGAAAATGCGTGTGATATTTATCAAGTGCTTTTTCGACATTTTCATGCAAAGATCTCCCTAAATCTTGAGGGGTTGTTGATTGATTTTCTAAAGCCTATGACAAATAAACTTTTAGCTTGTTTCTTATTTTTCTTCATATATTTCAAGGCTTTTTTTCAACATATAGTCATAAAGGAGTTTTGTCACAAATCATGCACTTAACCAATGCGAAAGACTGTTGTTGTAAGAAGATATATATGAGAGTATTCAATGAAGTTAAAACTCATTATCATATATTTAATGTAGTATATCAACTCGTTTAAATATCATGTTACCTTATCAAAAAATAATATCAAATAAATGTGTAGCATTGTGGTTTATCAAAGATTTGTGTTTCTCTACTATTTATAGCATGTGTTGTGCATAGACATAACAGATAACAAAGCAAATAAAAGGTGTCGATCAGATTAAGGATTGAGCCCTAGCCGATTCTTACTTGCCGAATCACTGATGAGTCCCTTGAAAATTGCAAGATCTTTTGTGAATATCGAGGAGGAGGAGGAGGGGGGGAGGGGGCTTACCCAAATAATTTCCAGTGAATCTGTAGAATATAAGAACTCCTCAAATACTCACTGTTGATTCTTTGAGAAACCTCTAGTTTTTAGGGAGTAGGGAGAAAATGAAAAACTCTGTAGGGAGTTCCTCTACGGAGACTTCCTAGAGAGTCGTGTTTCTCGTGATCCTATTGCACAAAGTGCTTAAACATTTTGAATATGTTCTAAATAACATCTGCTCATAAATATAAGGTATCGCGAAATAATTATTTGTTGAAATGTCAAGCTGTTACAAAGATGACATAAGAATAAGAGAAAAAAATATCTGACGATTTAAGTTTTATGCTAGGAAATCAGAATGAAAATCATATTTTGTTCCTTTATAATTCCTTTCTTTATTGATATTAATTTCGTCAATAACCCTGATGGTAGTTGTTATTCTAAAATATGAATTTTATTCTTTTTATTTAGATTAGTCTCAGCGACAACTAAAAAGATAAATATTGTTTTTACAGATAAAATATGACCTAATTTATTTAAATCTAACAATCAATTCTATCACCTCTCTAAAGATTAAATTCAACAACGATGTGGAGTTAAGCAGTATTTAAAAAAAAAACAGCTGTCTGCTTTTTTATGCAGATCCATCTCAAGAACAAATTACGACGGTAAGTATTATTTTCAAAAGAATTAAATGCTTTTTTTCTTTTGATGAATAATAACAAAAACGACCACGATAGCCGATATGTCAAATGGTGAATATTTTTTTATGTAGATTAACCTCAAGGACGACTGCAAAAGTACTTATTTAAAAACAACAAATTGAATTTTTATATTTACGAAAAGAATGACGAACAGAGAGTCACCATTCCCTCACTGATGAGTGATGCATGTGAATACAATGATAAAGACATCATATATGACTGTTTACAGCAATCGTAATTCTCAGCTTAGATTCATAAAGAATCCCTAGTGAATTCGAGGAAGTTTTTCAAAAGACTTCTCAGAAATTGTTGTAGTCAGAGTCGACTGGTAAATTATCTAATGAGGGCGTAGATGTTGGTATGTATTTGTTTACCGTCTATCTTTTTATTAACATTTCATATCCACACCCACAACAAGAGTATTCTGATGTCACATCTAAGTTCTCATCCAATGCTTTGTTCAGCAACCTTCAATGGACATAGCTCTGTTGACAGAAGTCTCACTGTGATAAAATCAACTTAAGAATCGAATTGTTTTCAAACTTAAGTATCGGGAGAACAACATTATCACTTCATATAAAAATAATTACACAAAAAAAAACCCTGTATAATGACAAGACCAAGTTATAAAATAACTGCATTTAGTGGAGATTTTTTGAATAGCCTTGACTTCTTTGTGGTATGAAAAACTAAATGATATATTGCAGTTCTTTGACAGAGATTTTTCAGAATTTATAGATATTGCATTTTGAATACCTGCTTCTTGAGAGACTGTCGTGTGTGTTCTGGAATGGTTCCCCAATGACTCATTCCAATTACAATCGGCTTCCATATATCCTCACTTAACAATATGTTACGATGAACACCTTCAGCAATAAGACCAGATACACCACTATTCAAGCCAGTTGTTAGTATCCATACATCTACATTATCAATCAACATTCATTTAGTTCATAGAGTTCTAATCTTTGACTCACCTTTTGTAGCTGCCACTTGACCAATACCACTCATAAACTCTCTTTCTAGATCATCAGTCATGGTGAAATATTCCGCTCCACCATAACAACTAACAAGTAGTTTGGGTTTGGCACCCACATCTTTGACAATAATCTCGACAAGTGTTTTAAATGTATCATTTTCTGTATCACATCGAATAAACTAAGAAAAATTTAACTGCAAACTGTTATACAATGCTTGTGCCAAAAAGATACTTACTCGAGCACCATTTTCTAATTGTCCATAGTGAGTCACATCCACTTCAATAGCAAGCTGTGGTATCCATCTTTGAGCATTTCTAAATTTAGTTTTTGGTTGACCAATGAAACTATGTTGACTAGCTAAACGACCACAAACGCATTGAGTTTCCTGATGATTGGGATCATTCATATTTTTCGAGTAGACTGCACATGTAGCACCCTTCAAGTTATCCTTGTCGGCTTGCTCTTTTACGAGTTCTTTCCATGTCATCTTTTTTGGTGGTCCACGTGGTACCAACGGATGGCTTTCGGAGTTTTCACCGTTTGAAGACATTAGTATAGATTGATCGAACGAAATGAAATTTCAAAAAGCAAGTAAGCTTCAATTATGTACTAAAAATATTCTACTTTGAGTTGTCGAGAAGAATGACGGAACAAAAAAGAAAAAATGTCATAGGATGCAAGACAGCCAAGAAATATTTTATATTGTTTTGCCAGTTTCTGGAAGCGGCGTGGGCTTTCTTTTTTTTCTGTTCTTTATATTGACATTCGACGGTGGTAAAAAAAATCTTCATACTCTATTAAATTCTGCTTTCTTTTCATAGCTTTCGTTGCCCGTACTATTTGCATAATTAAAAACAACATTCATTTCTTTTTTTCATTTACAGCACGATGGCAACACCAAGCAGATTCGAAAGTGGAATCCAATTGCCTACACTTGATACATATGAGTCGGTATTTGAAAAATCAAAACAAGCACCTGGAAAACTGATTGTGGTTCTATTCAATGTACAGTAAGAGACTATAACAGAATTAGAGGTCTTACTTGAATTTTCTGAATTCGTTTTTTTTTGTTCAAAAGGTTTCCTGATCGAGGAACTATTGAAAGTGGATTGAAGAATTGGCAAAATCACTACAAAAATACTTATGGCACTGAATTTTATAAATGTATTATTAGCAGAGGTAAACAGAAAATCAAGAGTGACTTCAAAATTGAAGATACACCAACCTTTATCTTTATTCGTGATGGTAGTGAGATTTGTCGAATAGATGATCTTGAAGAGGCGAATCCAAATATTTCACAAAACATACTGCCGGTTGGAGAATCCCAAGATGAAAAACGGCTGAAAGCAAAGCTTGATGAACTCTGTAGAAAACCTTGATTATATACCCTGAAGGTGATTTATTTCGAATAAATAACAGTGTAGCGCATTCTGTTTTTTTTTGTGTATGGAAGGTTTCATTTACTCTGCACGACATCTGCATTGTTTTCATTATTCGGCAATTTGCTCTACGACTAATACATTTTTGCTCTATTCTACTGAAGTGGTCGAGATTTACAACATCCAAGTGAACAAATCAGACGTTATGATTATATATGATCTTGTCAGATCAGATGTTAATAACGGTTATTGCATAAGAGCTATGATGGCCTTGTACAAATCAAATTTTTAAAACTATCAAAAGTTTCTCATGTTGCAGGTCGAGTTGAGCATCTAGAAATTCAAGTTTTGATGAATTTAGCTTGTTCTTGTATGGAGCTGTCCTAACCTTGCGTATTTTTACCCGTTCACATGGTGAAATTTACAAGTCTTAATATATTTAAAGGCAAAAAAGCCTATTGATGTAAAAATATCAGCTAAGAAAATGTATTTTGGCACATATTTTCTTGAACATGTTTCACTATATTCAACAGTAAATCATTATTTCTTGTCTTTTTTGTGTAAATTAACACGTTTAAATGTATTTGTCTTTTGAAATTAGTTAAAATGCACGATCTTCACTCCAATAGCTTATGCTTATATGAATAAATTTGATGTGAAAATTCATAGTATATATATATATATTCATCACTCTAGTTCTTTTATTATAATGACCAAGTGTTTTTTAACAATGTAGCATAATTATCGATTTGTTTTTTTTTTGTTTCATTTTTGTAACACTTGGTCGATTGTTGAAATTCTATTTTTTTTTTCCTTTTTTTGTTTATGATTGTTTCTATATTATCAAGAAACGTATCATTAGTTGTTATATTCCTATTGCATCGAGAGTCTGTTGCTTATTTATTTGAGCATCGATTTTTTTTTAGAGTTATTAAAAGTATCGTATTTTCATCTGACCATGTATAAACATTGGAAGCGGTGATGATTATATAACTTAAACGTGAAAAAGAGAAAACAATGAAGTTCAGAATTTTTACAAGGAAAAGAACTAGTCTAATGGTGAGAGATACAACGAAAAACAAATAACATTTTTCGAGCATCTTGCAAATAAATAAATTATGCTAATGGGATAGAATCGATAAAAATATAACGATATATTGGGCTTTTTTGTCAGTTTATAGACATCTTTATATTCAGCGTCATGATTAAGAAATCTTTGTGTTTTTCTCTGCATCTGCTGACTTTGCTCACACTAAAGGAATAAATAGATCATGTATCAACGCTGAGAATAGTTCATTTCAGTCTTTCTCTTCTTTCACTCAGCAATTAATGCCACATATTTTGCAGTAGTCAAAACTTACGACCAATAATGTGATTTGCTACTGCTTTTTCAATAAGTCGTAAATCTGTTCTACAACATCTTCAAGATCATATCTCTGTATTAGGGAAACGAATAAAATATATATTCTATCATGAAGACATTCAGGTAAAAAATTGCGTTTTTATGAGTTTTAAGGATTGTCCAAACGTAATGGTGTTATGTTTTTGACACACTACTATTGAATCATTTCAAAAAACTGTGAGAGCAAGAAAGTTCGTTCAAACATCATTCGATGCAGGCCATCATATTCTATTTATGTGATAAAAACGAAGTTTTTTAGCTGAAATTTTGGACTTTCAGAATAGTTTTGTAGTCGCATAACGTTGTTACATAAAAAGATCCTGAACGTAATATGTTTTTGCTGAAATCCTGATTTTCTGCAAAATTCGATCTTCAAATGATATGTCCCTAGCGCAAAGTTTGTAGAGTATCGAACGAGCTTTTACTTTTTTTTCCACAAATTGCCGTGTTCTTTTTATTCCGTGTAGATTTGTCTATGTTAATTGTTTTAACTTCTAAATATCTCTTAGATCTCTATGAAATTCAAATTTTCCTGCTGCAGAAAACTATCCTTCGGTCATTTGGTTCAAAACATACGAAGAGATTCTTAGCCACTAGTATCTAAGTGTATGGTATCTCAATTAGTAGTGTTTCTTTAGCTGGAGCGAAGATCTGGTGTAAAAACAAGATTTCATACAAAAAAAACTCGCTGTTTCTTGGGGTCCATTGTAAGTCGCTTTTCCACTAAAGATGTTCACGTTTTACTGCATTCAAACATTATTTGTCACTATTAATCGATAATGTTATAATTTCATCAATTAGTTGATCAAAGTCAGGATCAATATGAAAGGTAGTCATAGTGAAACTCAACACAACGAGAGCTCTATGAAAGCTATGGATTGATCGTTTAATTATCTATATGATTCGTTGTCTATAAAGTGTCAGTATGGATGAGCGAGCATGTTTGTGAAGAGAATGCCCGCACACAAAGCAGAAAAAGTAAGGTTTGTTTTTGCACTTCAGTCTGCATCCGAAAGACTTCTTTGGACCAAAAATAAATGGACTGTTTTTATGTCGTATGTGCCGTGTTTTGCAGCAAGAGGTGCTCGTTGAAATAGATTCTGAAAACGTGATTTGGATTTCTTCTTCAACAAATCTCGTAGTTTTTTTTTTGAAAACTTGAATAATTACCATTTTTCCAGTTGAACTTGAATTATTAACAACTACTCTTGGATCATAACACGACAATATTGTAAGATCTAGCCGTATCAACTTGATTTGATCCTGATCAGATGAGTTCAAGATAGTTCAATCTCGGTCATCGATTGGTCTCTCATTATATTCTTTAGTAATGTTTAAAATATCTATCATAGGACACATTTTTATGGTACAATCTGTGAGATAATTTTGTTTCAATGTATTGACTGAGCACAATCCGAGAATTCAACTTGATTTTTAATAAAGAATATTTCATATTGTATTGTATTCTTTTTCTTATATGAAAGTTATTTCAAAAATCATTCTAATTAGTATCCGTGAGACACTTTGTTGCAATGCTCATATGCAGCTCGATTACGGCGTCTTTACGATCGCATTTCCGCTATATATACATCATATTTATACAATATTCGGCCAACTTAGATAACTGTACATCGTCGTTTGCCATTGTACGTACATCAGCTTTACATACTGCTTGCCTTTACAGTCAAATTAATGCCAATTGATCTCATGCGAGAAGTTGGTCGTATAGTGTTTGCTATGGGGTGATCTACTCTATTTAACCAATGGTGTAGATGTGGGTTTAGGTATCGGAGAAGAGAATACTCACGCCCACACTCACATCTTATGCACGCCGTCAACTAATGTACTATCCGAGTCGGCATTCTCAACGTCAGTGTTCCTTGTACGAAAAGAACCAGCGAGATAGTCCGGTCAAAATCTTGCCGCAACAATTTCTTTGAAAATAAGTCTGAGAAAAATGAAATATGCCATTAGAAAAGATATATGATTTTACTTGCATTGACTCCTAAAATTTTGTTTCATATTTCAGGACAAACTGAATGATTAGTAATGTATTCACACATATACCAAGGTCTAAATACTTCTACATTACGTTTTTTTTATTCAATTAATGCTTTCTATTAATTCTCATTTTCTCTTTTTTTATGAAATTCACATGTGGAGAAGATCATTTTACCGTTAACTTTTAGTCAATAATAGCAATTGATTTTTCTGATTTTTGTTATAATTTTTATAAATTTATTATCCTGTTTACGCTATCTCAGATGATAAACATTATAGACTCATAACATATTTCTCATTCTTTTTTCTAGATTAATAATTCAAGTGTACTCTTGCCGATTACTTTTTTTATGTATATGTTTGTATATGTATTATTGATAATTAAGGCGTACTGTTGTAAACTACCTTTTCATGTA